CTTCACATATGTCCTAGACAGCTGAAAGTGTAGATAGGGCCCCATTTCTGACAAATAGCCCCACATTAGATGAGCCAGAGCCACATAACTGGAGATGGCTACGGTCTACCAAGTCTATCTGTGATGTTGGATCAAGCGCTCACCTGCCATAAACCTCCTGTAACTTTTGTCTATACAATTGTGGTCACACTAACAGTAGGAGCAAAATCAGTTGGCTGGGATGAGTTCTCTTAAAAGTGTCTCAAAAAATGAGAGATCTGGCATTTCTTAACGTGAGCAGATGGAGCCTGTAGGACGCGGAGCTGGCTGTGGGCTGGATGCTGGTAAGGGACAGGGCACAGATGGGAGAGTGGTGGTTCCTTACCCAACCTTGCAGTGCTTTGGTCTACTCAGCGTGGCCATACTCTCCTCATGGGACTATTGCTAGGAGTTTAATTTCAGTGGAACATGGATATAACCAATCTAGCTTTCATAACTGACCCAGCTCAGTGGCTCCAGCAGGTTTTTTCTAGTGCCATGGATTCAGTACCTCTTCAAAATCTACTAGAAAATCAGCTAACCTATAGCAAGCTCTTTGCTGTCAGAACTACAGCACTTTCCAGTACCAAAGCTAGCTAGTTCAATGCTTGCTTGTATGTATATCCTATAAAATAGCTAAACACATCAGCACCTGTGATACTAGGCGTTGCTGTGAGTTTAATAGTTTGTTTTACCAGTATTAGACTGATCTTCAACATTTGCTTCAGCATTCTGGGCTAATATTTGTTGAATCCACAGCTGGGACTCCTAAAAACTAATGGAGCTTATATGAACAGTATTGCCTACATTCCTTTGGAGATAACACTGCATAAAAGAAATGCCTCACAGTCTCTTCCACACCTGGTGCAGTCGGGTCCTGAGAAGCTGGGTGAGCAACCAGAATCCTTGGAAAGGAAACAAGAAATAAAGGGGACTTACTAGACCTGTAAATAAATAGAGGAGCAAAGGAGAACACAGAACAAAATAGAAAGGCAGACATATCAAACATGTTGTTTTTACACCTTGTGAAAATGTTCCTTCTTCTGTGTTTTTGTGGAGATTAGAATTCAGCAGAAATTAGTTACTTCAGTGGTGTGGTGCTGCTCGTATTGGTTTTTCAATGTACTGCTGCAACTTTCTGCCAGGCTGTGGGTGCTGAAATTACACAGAAGAGTCTGTTCAGGGAAGATGTTGGTGGTTGGGTTTTTTTTTGTCTTAGTGGTTTAGATTTTTTTTTTCTTTTTTCATCCTCATATCGCACTGCAACAAGAGGCTGTCTTTTGAAAGAGTTTTGCCTAGGACCTACCTTCCTGTAGTTTGCTAGTTACAAATACTAATATACTCTGTTACACTTGTTTCTACCTCTTATAAATTCCTTCAGAGACTAGTTCCAAGTCAAAAGGATAAGAATTCTTCATTGAAATACCTTCCTAAGTTTCTCTACCCTTTTTAAAATGCACTGAAAAATATCACCAAGGGCTGCAAGCCAGTTAGATCACTAATGCCTTTCACTGTCACCTGGAATTGCATCTGTACCAGTGGCTAGCCTGTTATGCCAGTGATGGGCTGGTACTCCTGACAGAAAATAATGAAAAATTGAATTACACTGCTGTGCACTTATGCAATACTGAAACTGAGAGTGGATGGAAAAGATTTGCTCTCCAACTCCATAGTACTGACCGTGTGCCCTGAAACTTGAAATTTAATTTAGCGCTGCCTCAGATAGAAGAAACTTTGCTTTTCTGTCTTTTTTTTCTTTTTCCCACTCCCCCCTCCTGTTTGAGAGCTCCACTGACCTGCAGAGGTCTGATAATCTTCCAGTTCATTCATGTTCTATAGTCTTGGAGGTTGGGGCCCGTCTCCAGGACTTCTCTATTTAAGGTCTTAAATTTTTCAGTTCCATCCCTAAGGATGGCATATTAGGTGATCTATGAACAGATTTGTTGTTCTAGCTAGGTCAGGTTTCCCAAAGTGTTCTATGATTTTTATTATTTTTTTTTTAATCCCCTGCTTGGCTTGCAATTGAGATGATTTCAAAGGTGCCTGGGTATTTGTGTTGACCACAGGGGTGAGGCCACATGCCCTAATTTGAGCTCTACAAATTGGAGACCACCTTTCACAATTTGAACCACTGTGTTCAGCTTTGAATTGGTATCTCGCTGTGGGCTACTTGCCCTTGGATGTTTGCACAGCTTTATTGGCAAAACCAAAGGAATGTGTGCTATGCTTCAAGCGTGGAGACCCCTCTGTTGAAAAGGTTTGTGACTTTTGTGGTGTAAGCTTAAAATTTAACTTTTTATTTAGTGGGGGGTGCCCCTGAATATACTCATCTGACTTTGCCAAATGAAGTGTTGGTCAGCTGAGTTTTGACAGCCTTTCTGTGGAATGGCTTGGCTGTTGAATGGAGCATAGACCTCCCTGTAGCTTTCACTGACCTGGCTGTTCTCATGGTTCACTCGTTTTGCAGCAAAGCAGACCTAGCAATGTTTAGGAAAAGAGATGAGAGAATAGTTGGAATAATTTATCCTGCCAATACATGCCGCAGTCATGTTTAAATGTTGCTGAGCGGGAGGATTATCTCCTCGCTCTGCATAACTTAGGTTGTAGTCTACAGTTACTATTTGCAGAAATTCTCACTGATGTCTATGGGCCAAATCCTGACCTAGTGAAAATCATCATATTTACTCTAAAACAAATGAGATTTGAAAATAGATTTAGAATTAGGCCCAACAATGTGTTTAGCATGGTATTTCCACAAGAAAGACTTACGCTGGGAAATGTCAACATTTAGGTGCCTTTTAAAACCATACTGCGAACCAACGTTTCCTCTTATTTGTGTTGGTGCAACTAGGAAGGACAGTCTTGTTGTCTAATGCACTGGGCAGGGGCTCAGTTCCTGAGTTCAGGCTTCCTGGCTCTGCCACCAATTTCCTGCATGTGCCTGGATAAGGCTCTTCACATTTCAGTTGCCTGTTTGCAAAAGGGGAAGAGTGTCCCTCTGCCCATCCTCTTCAGGCTGAAGAAGAGGGTCTGTCTTTCAGTGTGTCTGTACAGCATCCAACAACAAGGGGTCAAATGTTAAGTGTTGCTGATGAATAATAAGAAAAGTTGCCTGGTTTCTTCTTTCTTTTTTTTTTTCTTAACAATTGCAATAATGCATGAAGCCCAAGCCCACCCCAGGCTGCACTCTGTGGTGGGATTCCTGGAGGACTGACTTCAACACAGGTGGTTCAGCGCATTTGGCATTGTCCAAATAGAAAGTGGACTCCAATGTTCAAGGCAAGAAGACTGTCTTAACCAGGCTAGGACATAAGGTAAATGGGACTGTTGTCCATCTCTGGCAGCTGCTGATGGACAAGCCCACGTATTATAAAAAGGCCATTGTTCATGGCCACCCTGATGAAGAAATGTGTGCTGCTAACAACAGGCCATTTTCATCAGCTGAGCTGACAAATTGGTTTTCTTCTGCTGCAACTTCAAGCCAGCTGTTGCTTTTCAGCAAATGCTCTGGACAAAAATAAAAGGCATCACGTTTCCTATTTGGGTACTATCTCTTTGGACATTACTTGCACTTTCTGATAAGAAACTAATGCTGAAACACAGCCAGTGTCCCACTGACTGGGAAGCAGTCAGTGTCATTTTAAAGCTCAAACCAAATAGTATCTTCTACTGAAAAACACTATGTCCACAGCTCGCTCTACCCTTTGCACAAAAGCCTCGAGTGAATAAAGCTACCTGCTGCTACTACTTTCCATTCTTTTAACTGTCATCTTGTAATGAGTAAGCAAATGCCCTAAATAAATACACTAAAAAAAAAAAATGTGGTGACCTACACACTCATGATTGCCAGAAATTTGTAGGCTTCAGCTGAGACAGGTAGGGCTGCGCTGTGGTGAAGAAGCTGGGAAATATGAATTTTTGCTATCTCACAGATTTCCTGTGAACTCGGGAAAGTTGCTTACTCTATTCCTCCTTGGTTTCCGGTCTAAAAAAAACTACAGTAAGAGCACTCTAAGAAGATGCTGCAAGATATACTGGAGACGACAGTATTCAGATACAGGTGACATCTGTGTGATGGAGAGTAACACAGATGCTGTTTCAGGTGTGCTTACCTGAAGATAAGCTCACGAATGCACTGACCTTCTGTGAAGACTTAGCAGACAGCAGAGCTATTTGCTTGGTGTCACTGTGTGCACAATTACATTTTTCCCTGAGCTTATGTGTCCCATAAATCTTAGCCTGGGATGCTCTGAATCAGTAGGATCCAACTCTCCACACTGGGGTGGACATGGACACAGGTAGCTGGAGTCTGGTCTTCACAAGCACTGCAACCCACTGCTGCTCTTCAGCAGTATTTCTGCCACCGGTGTTACCACTTGGCACTTATTAACCCCCTTAGTGTTGACATTACTGAGAAGTCTGTCTTCATAAGGCTCCGAGAAAATAAAAAGTTTAAAGGAAAATCAGCAAGGTTGGGGTTTGGTTTTGTTGTTGTTTTTTTTTCCCTCCAGGTAAGCAATAATTAGCCTTCTTCATATGCAGTTGAAGTCCTTGGATAAATTGGGTAGCAGGCAGGAAAGCATGAGTTTTATTTTTGGATGGTTGATGCATTTTCTCTGCAGCTTCAGACAATTCGCAGAATGCCAATGGGGAAAACCACCTATTTTTCATATAGGGATGTTCATATGTAATAAGTCTAAGTAGTGGATGTTAGCAGTGCTCTTCAAGAGCATCAGGGGAAAAGGTGATGAGGAAATACATTGCAGTATTATTATTACCTATTTCTTTACTGTACCGAACATAGCAGACACAGGCTGCAAACATTTAACACTCTGAAACCAATGCTCTGAGAAATGTTGTTTAATATGAAAAGGGGTGGACTTGAATTAAATTGAAATTAAGGTGGAGATAAACACCAAACCGGAAACTAATTAACACTTGTTAGTGTAACTGTGCAATGCCGGTGTTTTTCCTCTCTCCAGAATACCTTGGCGAAGGCGCTATATGACAACAAGTCAGAGTGCTCCGATGAGCTGGCCTTCCGCAAAGGAGACATCCTGACAGTTCTGGACCAAAACGTCATTGGCAGCGAGGGCTGGTGGAAATGCTCCCTCCATGGCAGGCAGGGCCTGGCCCCTGCTAATCGCCTCCAGCTCCTTGCCGCCTCTCAGGCTGTCCTGCTGCCTCCTTCCACCCGGAGCAACTCTGCGGAGTCACCAGCAGGCCAACAAAACATCTACCAGGTTCCCTCCGTCCCCAAGCCTACTGTGTCATCGTCTACCTATGAGAAGATGGAGGGGTGGGTTAAATCTCCAGCTAAGGTTTCTACCCTACCTGCCCAAGGAATGTATCGGGTACCAGCCTTGGCTGCACAGCTGCTCAGTGAAAGGACCCAAAGCTCAACAAACCAGGTAAGAATATGAACAGCCATAACAGTAACTAACGTTGTTATTAAAACAGTCATTGGGAGTGGGAAAATAAGAAAGGCTATTGGCCTGAGCACTTCAGTGGAATTTGCAGCAAAGCCATTCTAATAAATGGTGTTTAGGAAACTGCCATCAATTCTACTACAATTTATAGCATTATGTGAGAAATGCTGCTCTGGGCGACAGATGAGAGTCTCTATATTCTGTAGTCCCTCACTTTTTTTGACAGTTTAAAGCAGCTGTAAAATAGGGCAGGAAGTAAAAGAATATACCATTTGTTTGGAAGAATCTAGAAATGGTTTACAAACCTACCCCAAAGTTAAAATAACAAGACACAGAACTTGCTCCTCTGATGGTCTAGAGCATGCATCCATCCAGAGTCCTCGGCATATCTGGGGTCTTTGCATCCATCTGCACGGGAACATAGTTTGTAATTAAAAAACAAACAAACAAACGAATCACCCTTTGCTGTGTGATTGCTGCCTTTGGTCTAGTTTCTACTATTTCCAGTGTCTCAGCAAGCTCAGAGTGCTGCTACCTTTCTCTTCTGCTACTCGAGGTTGTCACTACACTTGCACAAACCAGCAGCACCTACTTTAGACATGCTGGAGGGCACAGGGTTTGGTTGTGTGGTCTGAACCAATTTCTCTCCCAGCCTGTTTTTGCTGCTGCTGAAACAGTGACCAGGGTGTAGGGGATGAGAGCAGCCGCCAGTCCCTCCAGTTAAGGAGGAGAATTGCAAACCAGGTTTTCCAGGGTTTCATTACAGCTGCCTGGCCTGGCGTCTTCTTTCTCCCTGCTCTTTGTGTTTGGCATTCAAATGAAACATGTACGTGGAACTCGTAATTTGACTAGATGTTGCATCAAATGTCTTAACATCAAAAACTTGTGCTTTCTGCAGTATAAAATGAATGGGGAATCTTTTATAATGAAAGGTAAATAGAGCGGGTGGGGAGGGAGCTGAAGTGCAAGTTTTTGTTCAGTCTCATGAGCTATTCAGCCCTGGGTGGCTCTTTGTTCCATTTATGAAATTCATGTTAGAAATGTTAATTTAAAACAGAAAAGGAAAGAAATTCAGCCCTGAACTGTATAGCCTTTTAGGCAGATTTAATGATCATTTGATTTATGGGACTCGGTCAGCTTTCATCCCATTGTGCCAAAAGGACAGTTACGGAAACCAAAGTGCTGGTTCCTTCTGTGTGGCAAATGGGTGCTGGAAAATGGACAAGTTGGTGCATCTCTGGTGACTGAAACCTAATTTTCAGCACTGCAGCTGCACATTCAGCCTTTGTGTACAGTTACCATAACTGCAAGCTCAAACTGAGTAATAGCTACGAAAGACCGTTTTGCACTTGCTGTGATCTGTTGTCTCCACATTCCTAACCCTAAAGAAGGCATTTGCAAATTGAATGCGAGATTGATAGAAATTTTCTGTGTTGTGCCAGCAAATCAGGCTGAGAATGTCATCTATTATTCTTTATCTGAATGAATGGCCCAACAGAAGAGCTTCTTGGCTATTCCGGTCTCTCTGTCATTTTGTGAGTTTATATATCTAAGCTTGTTTAAGAGAGGAAATAAAAGAAAAAAAAAGTCCTAGCCTGTTTTTATTATTTAGAAGTTCAGATTTGCCTGCACTGCTTCCTGCACAACATCACAGCTGTTACTACACCAACTGTACCGCGGTGGTCACAAGCCATACACAGATGCATGCAGAGGCTCAGGGGTGAACAGCCTGGGTGAGTGCAGAACAAACTGTAGCGCTCCAGAATGCCCTGCGTAGATCCTATGGGACAACTGGCAAAGTTCCTGGCATACTCAGCTGTCCTCTGAGCAGCTGGGTTAAGCCACTCTAAGTCTTTGAGGGAGCTGATTGAAAGCAATAAACCAAAACTAAATCCCTCAAAATCTGTGTGCTTTCACCCTGTTAGAAAAGCCTTGTCACTTCTGCTTAATACACAGGGCACCTCCTTGCTTTACTGTGACTGAAAGTACTTTAAAAAATAGTAAGAAGTGATATTCGGCGAGTTTTGGTTTTGCTGTATGCTGAGTAAGATTTGTCCATCTGAAAACAGACCTGGGCTAAGGATGGCTTTCTTGATACCACTTATCTTTTACCCTTTCTACTCAGGAAAGTCTCTTCTTTTCTGCCTCTGTTTGCAAGCAAGACGGGCTCATATCGCAGAGCACTAAGGGGATTTGTGTTCATTCCTCGTTCCCTTTCTTCAGATGAGAGCTAAGAGCTTTTGCAAAGATGAAGCAAGCAGTTGTAAAGCTGGAGTCTTGTTCCTCTACCATATTTCCCCTAAATTTAGTCACTACAACGATCACTTACCTGATGGAGAATGCTACCTCCAATTTTAAATAATTTATTGTAACGTGGTGGTGTTTCTGTGGGTCAGTAGTTTACAATACTCCATTTATAAACCAGCTGTGGAGAGCCCGGCTAAACCCATGCTAACTGAGCAAAACTCCATGTTTTGGGGGTTGTTGTTAAAAAAAGTCCTTTCCCAACATTCATACTTTGGCATCTTAATTAATTGTCCCACAGATCTGGTCATAGCTGTTAAAATGATGTTTAAAGCAAACAGGAGAACTAGTCTGCAACTGACCTAAATAATGTAATTCCCATATCAAGTCTTCTCTGTTTATGGAACTGGACAGGACATCAAGGTAACTATGTTTACCCTTACCAAATGAGTCAGTCTTTTATAACTACTGAATAATGCATCTCAGCCTGTACCTTCTTGCTGCTCTTACTCCCCAAAAATAAGGCTTGACCTAATGGCTCTGTGAGACTGGAGAAGTAGAAATTCCCCCCTTTCTTTTTTTAGTGGTTCTGCTTTTGGACAGTATAAAGATTTAAGTGATAACTGAAGCTGGATTTTCTGCAAATCCTTTCCTTCCCTCGGTTGGTAAGGCAGGTTGATTTATATGTGCCATTTCTGATCTTATCTGAAATAAAGCAGAAATGCTATCAAAGGAGAATTATGGGGAAAAAATACCATGCCTGCTTGTAAGGTCAGTTCCTGTCTATCACCATCAATGAAAAGCTGAAAGGTTTTTAATTACTTAAGAGTGATTACTTTAACAGTGGCCTATTCAACTGAGTTTTCAAAGATGTCCTGAGTTTACTGCTCACTGCAGCTTTCTCATTATTGTGTTTTTTTCCTCCCTAAAAGCACCTGCTTACTCTCCCAAGAGCATGCCGGGCTTCAGTCCCAAATATCAGGAGTGAGGTGTATGATGTTCCATCCACACAGCGCCGGGAGTCCTTACTCACGCAGGTGAGTCCTGCCATGGTCCCCCCATGCAGTTGGGACCCTGTAGGACCTCAGAATAGATTTTAAGGTAAATTCTAGGTTTTCCCTGTTTGCTTATTGTAAAATTTGGCAGAAAACCATATATTTTTAGGGAAGTTCAAGACCTAAAGCAGTTTTCTTTTGAATTTGTTAGACATTCAGAGAAATGTGTCTTAAATTTGGTACGTTTCTAATAAATGTTTTCAGTTTTACTATTAATGAGTTCCAGAGAAAAGATGAATTCTCAGTATCAAGTGTCAGCCACTCTGCCTTGGTTTATCCATTGGAAAATTTGCTTTGTCTGTGTGTCATTTGATCAGGAAGATTTCAAGATGTTTCTAGAAGAGTCACTAGTGCATGTTCAAAAAGAAACTAAATGTCACCTACCCCACCCACCTACTGGGCAACAAAATGCAAGGGATTAGATCATGTAACCATGACCCATTCAGGGTAAGGGCAACACTTGATTGCATCTACGGCTGAAGTGTCCTGTTACACGATCTTGCTCTTGATACCATCCTTTCCTGGGGAGCGTGAATGTCACCACATTTCCTCTACATCTCACTGCAGCCTGTGCAGGTCACCAGGGTGGGACAGATGCCAGGCCCCAGCCCCATCCCGTCACCTACCACGCGTAGGTGTGTGTGGGACTGGAGCACGTCCACAGAGCCTCCCTGAGCACCTTACGCTCCCTGGCAGCACCTAGCAGCACGGGGTTGAGCCCACTCTAATTCATTTATTATCAAGTTATCCACAAACTTCTTTGTGTCGCCCACTTTGTGTAAGTGGGGTGATCCCTGCTCAGACCCAAAGCCAGGTGGGTAGGGGGCGGCTGCCTCGCACCACCAAGTGCCCACTGCCCTCACGTGCAGCCCTGCGGGAAGGCGCTCCAGCAGCTCTCTGTCAGGTTGAGTTTGACCCACGCCGCCCAAACTAGGAGCGACGCAGTATATGACCCAAAAGCCTTTGATACCACCGAAGTCTTCAGTGGGCTCTAAAAAGGATTAAAGTCAACCTGGTTTTTTTCCTTTTGACCAGAGGAGTGCCACTCCGCCCACCACACGAAAGGGCTCTGTGCTGGTCAGATCCACCGAGTGTTTCCAGGAAGAGCAGAAGCAGCTTTACAACATCCCATCCAGCCCAGAAAAGGCAGGAGCTGTTATCCAGAAAGACTCACTAGTGGGCAATGTAAGTAAGGTTTTTTGGACACAAGAGAATAATCTCTCATTATTATGAGGTTGGGCATGTGTGCTGAACCTCCCTCAAGGTGATCACGGGGACGAGACCAGCGCATCTTCGGTGCAGTACTTTGTCCTTCATATTAAAGAGACAAGTACTACCCCGCTCCTGGATAGTCAGGGTACCTGCCAGGACTATGACTACCACTGGGTTTGTATTAGCTTTTTAGACTGCAGGCAACAGGATCTCTTGCCTTAACTTCTTTTTATGACAGCATGAAAAGCAGACTCAATACCCTACATTCTTGAATGTCTGTTTGTAATATTTAAGCAGATAGAAACTAACTGTCCCCGTTCCATGCAGCACTTCCCTGTGCCTTTTTTGGGAGTGGAGCACTCCTGGCTTTAGGGGCCAGGGGGGTGGTCAGGCTTCCCATCTCTTCCCCACTGTTTGACAAGTACCATCCTTGAAGAAAGGGCTGATCTCAAATATCACAACAAAGAAAATGCCTTGATGGAAACTCTTAATTCGTTGAGTGCCAAATATTTCAGGTTTCCTGAACGGTTTTAGGATCCAAGAGAATTTTGACATGCTCCTTAGCACACATGCCTAGGGCTGAGGTGCAGGATCTTGGGGCAGACCATCCCAGCACAGGAAATCTGAGGCTTCCTGTTTTTGTGGATTTAAAGAGAAGTGCTGTAGGTTCACAGCTGCCCCACGACTGGAGAAACCAGTCTTGCACAAAGCCTGTTCAGCAGTGACAGTAGGACTGGCGCTACCCAGAACTGGGGTGCTGGCATATGAGCAGTCGCTCATTGAAGCTGGCATTCCTGAGATCTTCATGGCTGTTAGCAGTTGTACTGACAAGCTGCAACAGCCTGGGAGCAGATTTCCTTGCAGAGACACAGTTTATCGTTGTTTCCAAAATCAAATTTTCTTAGAATTCTTTGTTCGTGGGCAATTTGGAAAATTCTGGCTTTGGTCTGAAACACCCTTGTCTGGGCTCCCCTTCTCACGCACATTTTCTGCAACCAGGGAAGTCTGACCTGGCCAGTTGTTTTTAAAATTTTTATTACATAACAGTACCTTCAGTTGTTTCTTGCTGCTGCACACTCCTATAGTTCCTTGCACTCCCTCATGCTTGTGCTTTATGCTTGTAAAGCATCCAAGTACAATCTCTCCCAAAGTGCCTATTAGTATTAGTCTGGATTTTCTTATGCAAGAAGTGCTCCTGCATTTGCATTTTCCAGCTTAGGCTTCAGCTGTACACACATGTATTTTTAAGGCATTGGGCAAGATCTGTAGCTATCTTAGCAAACCTGTATCAAGTAAAAATTTAAACTCATTGCAGTTATTTGAGAGTAGTCAGCGGTGTCTGTTGGTGATTTATTTTTTTGTCATGGTATGCATATGAATGGGGGTGGGGATACCAGAAAAATCAAGTGTTTTCTTATGCAGAGGCTACTGAAGTCTTACCTCCTTCATTCTGTACAACTGAGTATTTAACATTGCCTACTAATAAACTGGCATTTCACTTGTAGCCATTCCAGAAAACTGAGTTTCCCACCCCAAAGGAGCCAGGGAACAGCCTACAGAATTTCACTGACTGAGAACACTGCTGTACAATTTAATCACCTGTGCTCAAAATATTTTAACCTTCATATGTGCAGCTTGTGCATTTCAGAAAGAAAATTCAAATTTATGGGCTAGCCTTTTTGCAATGCAGTTCCATTGACATTACTGGAGTTGCATGCATTTACATGCTCTGAGAATTCAGTTTTGTTTCTCTTTTTTTGTTTAAAAACATGGTTTATGAATCCTGTGTGCTCTGTTGCAGTTATATGACGTCCCTCCCAAAAGAGAATCTGATGTTTCAGAAAATGAATCTCAGAAAAAGTGCTGGGGCCATTACAATACCTTGCCAAATCCTCGAAAGTCAGAATGGATTTATGATATTCCAGTATCACCTGAAAAAACAGGATTAAAACAAAACCCTTCTGGCCATTCATTAGAGAACCACGTGCTGTACGATATACCACCAGCTAGGTACAAGGCGCTAACAACAAGTACTGAAGCCAAAGTTGTAAATCCACAATTATATGATATTCCACCAACACAACGGAAATTAACATTTCCAGATATCCATCTTTATGATGTTCCATCCTCACGGGATGTGCTTCTTTTGCCACAAAACGGTAACTGTGATGTACCCCCAAGTCTCCTGGCTCCAAAGGCTGAGAATCAGATCTCTGAAGAGAATGTTTATGATATTCCAAAAGGTTTGCCCACTGCTGTGCAGTCCAAGAAAGAGACGGAAAAACACAGTGATAGTTCTGGAGACCAAGCATACAGTGGTCCTCCACAGCTCTCAAGAGATGTCAAATTAGAACAAGACAGATTATCTGTTTCTAGTGTGGATAGCAGAAGCAGTACATTCTCTACATCCTCAAACTCTTCTGCTGAGTCTTTTTCTATGTCAACATCAGAAGAGCCTGCCAAAGAAATTAAACTGGACCTTGAAGTAGCTATAGAGACAGTGACTAGACTGCAGCACAGTGTATCCAGCTCGGTTGCAAGTTTAATGATCTTTGTGAGTAGTAAATGGAGATTACAAGAACACCTAGAGAAAAGCATTGAAGAAATCCATAGGGCAATCGATCACATAAAAGTATCACTGGGCGAATTCTTGGCCTTTGCTCAACTTGTGAAGGTAAATGCCTCTTACCTCACTGATAACAACCTTCAGACCAGAATTAAAAAACAGCTGGAAATTCTTATGAACTCATTCAAAATTTTGACAGAAACAAGAGAAGCTCTAAACAACTGCAACTGGTCACTAGAGGCTTTGGTCCTCAGGAAACCTCAGAACAACCCAGATGATCTTGATCGCTTTGTTATGGTAGCCCGCACGATTCCAGATGATATCAAGAGGTTCGTATCCATCATCATTGCTAATGGAAAGCTCCTCTTCAGAAAGAATGAGAAGGAACAAGAAACGAAGCAATCAAAAGTGAACACAGAATACAAAATGGCAAAACAAATCACAGTGCCAAGAAGAGTAGAAATAGATTCGCTGCAAAGAAATACTCCTGATAAACCCAACCAAAGTCAGGTCTCTCCTGAGAAACCAAAAGAAGATGCTACTGAGGACTGTGATTATGTTCAGTTACAGGTTAGTATAACTGGATTTTACCATCTATGTTCTTGATCATTTGCGGATATTAAGCTAATAGCACTATTTTATCTTTGCACTAGTGCCAAATTCAGTTTGCACTACTTCCTGTTTTCCAGACTTCACGTGAATTCAGGATTTTGTTAGTCCTAGATGGCACATGTAGACTTATCAGCAATTTTAAGTAATAAAGAGAACTGGCATTTGAGAATTTACCCAGGCAGCCAGCACTGAGAAAAAAATTTTAGCTTGCCTGTTTAAATTAATTTGAGAAACTGCTTTTAGCTGGGGGTTAGCAACTTGTTTCTTCTGACTAGTAGTTCTCTTCTTGCCAGTACATTTTGTTTGTTTGACTCTGATACAACTATACAAGAAATGTTAACTTTCTAACTTGAGATATATTGGGAAGCATGCTTTCATACAAAATTTTGATTTCACAAATTAAACTCTTACTGTGAATTATAAAATTTGTTAGAATAATTTTGGCTGTTTGTTAGAATCATTCTCCTTAGACTTACTGAAATGTCTACTAAGAATATAACTCTCTTGTTTTCATAAAGAAATGCTGGCTTGTCCTTAGAATTTAAGAAATGTTATGTTTTGTTGATGTTGGTTTCAGTCTTAGATCTTGCAGGATCACACACTAAATTTTTAGTAGGAAAAAAACTACAGTTGCTTCTAATAAATGTACTATTGCTGTCCGTAGTAACATGAAGGCTGCATAGCAAGGAGTTGTTTACCCCTGAAATAAGAGGAAAAACACATTTATATTTAAATATTTTATGTAAACCATTTCAACTTTGCTTTCATTTTGATTTGTAACAGGCGCAGAAAATCATTTCAGGTAAAGAAGTAGCAAAGAAAAGTACGGATTCAAAACCAAAGGTATTTCTGATTTTGAAAACTCTTACTTATGAGGACTTCTAGTTCCTGGTTTCCATGCTTGCTAAAATTCAGAATAATTTGCATTTGGACACACATGTCTATGTATAGAGATCTGTTTGTTTTGTCATAGTTTGTTTTACCAGAACTAGTTCTTAGAATTACTGCTGAAAGCCCATGCAAAACATCTATTTTCCTCAAATGTAAAAAACCACTCTAGTTTAAAGTCATACTATTTATTTACTTGCCTTTGTGTATCATTTGGGATAAGGCTGGGAGAGTTAGTACTTCAAAATATCTTGTCATGCACTGGTAAAAGGATTGACTCTCTTGTTAATTGTACGGTTTTAATCATTCATAACCCTCATGAAGTCAGCACCATTACAGATCGAGTCTGAATGTTTTGTACTGTCTGAAAGCTTGAAGTCCAGACTGTATAAAGGATGGTGTTTAGCTACAGCACTTTGTGTGTTACCCATTATTAAAATCACATTCAGTGGAATTTGTTTAGGGAAAAAAGGCAATTGGGAGAAAATACCACTCTGAAGTCCAGTACTTTATGGAAGGAGAAATGATTGTAAAAGACGCCTGGGCTGGGGCAAGTTGGAGACTATTAACTCACAAAACTTCCTGTAAGTGAAGAAACGTGAAGAATATAGGGTAGAGCAAATAAAGAAACAATCAGTGTGCCACCAACCTGAGTCTATTTTTTTTTTTTAACCTTTTTCCAGGTTTTGCCATCTGCAAAAAAGACTGTAAATCAAAGCAAGCAGGACTCTGCAAAGAAAATCACTCTCCCAGAACACTGTAAGCTGTGTTTCAATGCACTTCACAAGGCAATTGGTGTATTTACTAATAGTCTGAGCAACAACCAGCCACCTGAAGTCTTTATATCCCACAGCAAATTGATCATTATGGTGGGACAAAAGTTAGTGGATTCTCTCTGCCAGGAAACTCAAGAAAAAGATGCTCGGAGCGATGTTCTCCACAGCAGCAGCCGGTTTTGCAGCCTCTTGAAGAATCTGGCTCTCGCCACCAAAAATGCTGCAATACAATATCCAAATGAAGATGCTGTGAGGGAACTTCAGGATCAAACCGAGGAGCTGTCTAAGTACACACAGCAGTTTAGAGCAATGATGGAATGAAAGACACTTTGCTGTTTTTACAAATTCTCCATTGTTGTTGCTCCTTTGGCATGTGGCAGCCAAGGGGTGCAAAAGCAGCTCAGAGACGCCAACTTTCAGTCACCTCTAAGAACTCATGCCGGGCAGTTCCCTGGGTGCTGGTGCACTTTTAGCAGGTGAAGATCCACACAACAGCATATGCAGAAGAGGATCTGTAGAATTAAATCTGTACCTCTCCGTTGTTCAGATCCTGCCTGGAAATGTCATCATCTTAGTGGCTGAGCAGGAATGTTTGCTGTGTATTAGAGCCAAATTACTTTATTATCTGGCTGATTTCTTATTTTTTAATTTCTATATAGGTCAGATAAGTATAGTTTCCTTTTTTTTTTTTTTATTTCGGTATGTAAAGTCGCTCTTTAAATTTTGCTGTACAATGTTCTGTAACTTATGATATCCCATCATCAATTGTTTCCTGAGGACTTTACTCAAAATCTGTAATTACAATTTTTTTTTTAAACAGCTGCAAAGCTAACTTTTGTTTTTAATATATAACTGCGATAAATATATTATGGGACAAAATCTGGCAGGTACTATATGTAGTCTAGATGTTAATGGGAAATGCTTCACCCTGTATCTGAGCACAGAGGAAAACTGACTTGGAGGAGTCCTGCCTCCTGATAAATCCACGGGGAGCAGCACGTCTCAGTCATCCTCTGTCGCATCCTGAAGCCGTTCAGAGCATTGCTCCAAGTGAAACAGTTTTAGTCACCGAATGTGCAGAGGCTTTGGACAAGCTCTTCCTACAAACTGGAAAGGTGACGTTATTTCTTGCTGGGCACCCGGAGCACCCGTGCTGGCGAGGCTGCCCAGGGCTTCTCAGAGCGGCCCTTACTCTCTTGGTCTGTAGCTCGTTAACTTTATCCCCACGTTTGCTGGATCTGCAATACAACGATGAAGGCCCTGTAACCACACAAGTAGATCGTTTGTACGCCCGTGTTATCTGTATTTTTCCTAATTAATTTATTTTAAAGTTTTCACCTGAAATTTCAAAGCCTGGCCTTTCTTGGCAATGTTGTACCTCTGTCTTTGCCCTGAAAATGGACAATTTTGTGAGTAGTTAGAGCTAATTTGCACTGCAACAGTGCACACGCTTTAGTGGTCTGTGGAAAAACCAGCTCCCTCGTCTTCCTCTCGGTTTTATTTTCACTTGGCAGTCACCATGTTTTACACCGTTATTTAAACGTCGACATTTGTAAATATTACTGTTCGCACGGTTAAGTGCAGTAACCGCATTTCACGTTGGCTTCGTATGTTTTGTATTAAACTCGCTCCCGGCGTTTCCGAGTGCTTGTAACCTGCCGTCGCCCCCTCCTGCCTCAACTGCCCGGGCTGAGGGCGGGAAGGGCGAGAGGCGTCTTCTCAGCGGGAGGTAGCCCCCGGCCCAACTCGGGAACACCTCATTTGGCCACAAATCCCCCAACGTGGGTGCCCCGTGGGGGGGGGTTCCTCACAAAAAAAAGGAAATTTTCTTGCGGCCGTGGCGGGGCCGGGTGAGGGAGAGGCGCCGGGTGGGGGCGCTGCGGATCCTCCTGCGCGCAGTGGCACGTTCCGCGCCCCTCCGGCACCGGCCCGATGGACTCGCCCGCCCTGCCCCGCCCCTCCCGCCCTTGCGCTGGTAGCCACGCCCCCAGCCTGCTGGTTGCTATGGCGCAGCGATGACGCTCTCAGGGCACGCCGGAAGTACCTCACTCCTCCCCCGGAAGCGTGCGGCGTGTGAGGGGAGGTGGACGCGGAAGCGTAGCGCTGCGGGCGGCGAGATGGGATGCGATGGCGGCACCATCCCCAAGCGGCACGAGCTGGTCAAGGGGCCCCGCAAAGTCGAGAAGGTCGGAGGGGGCTGCGGGGAGCGCGGCCGGGGGCCGTCGGACCGGCTTTGTGAGCCTGGGCCCTGACCGTGGGCCCGTGGCCCGGGGGGGGAGAGAGAGAGAGGCCCCGCGGAGGCCTGGTTAGCCCTGCCCGTCACGTAGTGCCTGCGAGCCGGGCATGGTGCTCCGGCTGCTGGCAGCGTGGGGGAGAACGCCCTTCTGCGCCGCACCGGGCCGGTCTGCCGGTACCGGCGCAGGGTGACTTATGTGTGGCGCTGCCGGCAGCTGCAGTGGAGATCCCGTTGTCTTCTGGAGGGCTTTTTTGGACATAAGTCGTTCTGCTGAACGTTCTGCTGCACGCACGGGGTTTAGCGGTCTCCTTCACCTAGGGTTATGGTGTCTGCCGGTAACACTCTTCATAGGTCGTTTAATAGTGTGACCAGACCGTTGGGCCTTTTCTGCATTCCAACTGCTTGCATCCTGAATGTTGCTTGGGCTCTCTTTTTAGAATGTTTTAGGGTAATGGGTATTCAGTGGTGTCACGTGTGTGGATAGGTGGATGAAGATTGGGAAAAATCTTGCAGGAAGTGGCAGAAAACTTAGGCAAATTATACTTGCTGATGTAAAACAAGTAAATAAAATCCACTTCTTCCCCACGCCTGGCTATCAGGGTGGCTGTGAACCTTGGCCTTTCTTTTATGGCTTAATCTGTCATAAAATTCATGGGGTTTAGGCTGGAGGTTCAGGTAGCATCCTGACATCCCTCGGTTAGCTTTTCTTGTTATCTTGTTCTTGCAGGGAGTGGAACTGGTAGTTGACCCAAGCAGGGGTGAGATGTAGAACTAGAGAGAAGAGGGTAGTGGAGAACATGTGAAGAGCAAAAAAGAATAAAGAGGGAAGGGGACAGGTGGAAGTGGCAAAAAATAAGAAAACTGAGTTAGAGTTAGGAAGATGGGTCCTGAGGTGCAGAAATGTTTTCAATAGATAGAGGTAGGCCCTCAGAACTGGTCATGAATTTTGCTAAAAGGTTTTGCTAAAGTTATTTGACAGATTAGCTTTGAATGCAGAAAGTAGGTTTGGTAAGAGACCTGGGGATTTGCTTCAAGTATTACTTGAATTTTATGTTCAAAAAATTTGCAAATATACAAGCTATTTTAAAATCAGGAGTATTTTTTTTTCCTTCAGGTTGACAAAAATGCTGAGTTGGTGGCAAGATGGTACTACTGTGCTCTGAGTCAAGAGAAATTACGTCGGCCAATTGTAGCTTGTGAGTTAGGCAGGTATGAATGTTTCCATATAGACCGCTATATTAAAAGATACTAATTTCTAAATAAAAGAACGTTATTAGTATCAAATATGATACTAAAAATTTTATGTTACAGATTGTATAATAAAGATGCTATCATTGAATTTCTGTTGGACAAGTCAGCTGATAAAACTCCTATGGAAGCTGCATCACATATCAAGAGCATTAAGGTAAACAGGTTGTCTCTTATATTAAAGAGCATCATGAAAAGTAAAAGATGCTACAAAACCTCAATCTGTTTGTGTTCTCACTATATACTAAAAGTGTTAAAAATAGTAAATCACAATGAAAAAATCTTAGGGAATGTTATGGCTGAAAAATCATTAGTAAACAGCTTAAGGCTTGCATTTGTATTTTTCAGAATGTAACAGAACTAAACCTTGCAGATAATCCAGCTTGGAGTGGTGACAAAGAGAGTATAAAAGGTGACAAATATGATGACATCCAGTCTGCACGCTTTATATGCCCTGTGGTGGGATTGGAAATGAATGGAAGACATAGGTCAGTATGCTTCTGGATTTTGCTCTTGAAAGCAAGTACTATGCTAAGCTGAATATAGAGCAGGTAAAAATGCTTGAATCGATAATGTTGCAAATCATGTACTTACTCAAGCCTTTCTGGGGAATATTTGTCCTCATTTCAGAAGGAGGGAGTTCAGGACACTACTAAGGGTCCTTTCATTTCATGTTCTAGAGGAAAGATTAAAAGTTAACCCTTTCCTAAATGAATTTATGTGTATAATCAAGAGCAGAGGGCTATGTTTGCAGAGAAAAAGTGACTAAAAGTTTTCTGGGGGCTAAACCACGGGAGATTGGATGAGGCCTCCCTTTGTGTCACATCAAGCAATTCTACCTCTCCCTGTGTTAGGATCAGAATGGAGATGGATTGTATATCTCTTCTAATCCTGCAATACTATCTGTTTTTTATTGGGCTGAGGAAGGACATTTCTTTGCATCCTGGTTTGGGCAAATTAGCAATTTCTTTTTCTATGCATGTTAACCCTGATGAGTGAGAAGAGGCCGGGTTCACAGCTTGACAGTTGCAAAGTACTTCTTTCTTCAGAGAGTGATTAGCTGGGAGATATTCAGGTGGAATCAAAAGACAACCTGAAAAGTAAACCTATTTTCACCAGAGCCACCTTAGTATTTTTCAGTTCAGTTGAGGGTGATGGACAGGAAAGGATTAACAGTAGCTCTCAGGAAAGGGAGATTACATGAACCGTGCACGTAATTGCTTCACTTAGTCTTGCAAGAATCTTCTGTATGGACAGGAGAGATGTGGGAGAACAGACCCAGGCTAAGGTCGCTTGTTACAGCTTTGCTGGAGAGCTTGAGTCAGAGTAAGTGAAACCAATAAGCTTGGTGCAAGGTGGAACCATTCAAATAGTGTAACTTTGTAATAAAACAGATCATGGTGATGGTTCCAGAGAAGCCTGTGTGGACCTGTAGCAAATGTACAAAAACATCTCAAGAGCTTCTGTTTTGCTGAGATCCCCTTGAGAGATTGTTGTAAAACTATGCTGAATTATACAGAGAATAAAATAACAAAATATGTGTTGTGGTTTAATGTACACAATATTTTTCATTCGATTCATACATAATGCCTACTTAAAGGTGCTGATACCTTGATTAGCTGCAAGAATTTGTAAGGAGAAAGTTGGCTGTGTCCTGCTAGCCCATTGCAGTGTTGTTTCTGTGACAAATCAGAACTGCGCATACATCTTTTAGACACCAGGTTTCTTAAAAATGATTGTATGTCTTGTCTTTTCTTTGAAGGTTTTGCTTCTTGAGAAACTGTGGCTGTGTGTTCTCTGAACGTGCTCTCAAAGAAATTAAATCAGAAGTTTGTCACAAGGTGAGTTTTTCTTCAGCTTTAGTAGCAGTGGGGTCATGTATGGCCTTCACAGATAGATATATAGATACAAGTACATACTTGTGTGTACAATTGCATTCACACCCACTATCGTAAAATGGGTTTTTTTATGTGAAGATGCAAATTGAAATGGAACTTGTAAAAGTTTTGTTTTATGATGGCCTGAAGTAATTCTGTATGGCCTTTTTAAATAAAAATGTGTTACTAAGTAGTTGTAAATATGAGTATTTTTGTTTTCAGAGACAGTTTGATTTTGCAGTAACTACTTTAGAAATTTCATTTTTTCAAATATTTGGTTATAATTTCAGTTTAAAAAAAGGGTGATTGTTTTTGCTTTGGGGTTTTGGGTATTTAGTTTGGTTTGGCTGGGTTTTTTTTCCTGAAAGCATGTGGTTTGTGTTTTATCAATGTTGCTCTATGTGTTGAAACTGATTACATTTTCAGCTTATGTTTTGATCCCTGTATTTTTAAAGGACACTGTCGTCTTTTGGGGGTGGGGGAGGAGCAACTCTTCCTAGAATTTTCAGCAATTACATGAATTATTGTAGAAATTGACTGCATTTCATTTTACAGTGCTGGTTTGATCTCACTATATCAGTTTCTTTGTAGCTAGGGGCAATGATAAAAGTTGCAAATACTCTTTTTTTTTTTTTTTCCTATCACTACTTTTATTTATTACCAGTGAGGTTTGTGGTATAGTTGCCACATTTAGACAGAGTTATTTTTCAGCAAACACCCTGATATTGGATAGAACATTTGTATTAAACAAGACCTGTGAAGGAAAAACTTTCTTGGTAAGTTGTTGCAGGTGATGTGGAATATTGTTAATTAGGTTTAGCCTTGTATTGCTGCATTCAGTGCTAATTTTGTTCTGTAGAATACCAGTTTAGTCCTAATGGCTCTGCTTTGCTGTTGGCAGATACTAATTTATTTTTAATGAGTTTTTTTGTTTTCGTCTAAATTTTTGTTGATAGATGGATGTAACTTGATTATTAAATGCAGGAATTAAAAGTTTTGTCCATGGTTTGGCCAGTCTGGTAATCTTATAAAAACTAAATGAATCCCACGTGTTTTCTGGATTTTTTAATAATCAGTATTTATCATAGCCTCATATTTGCAAGCAACTATTTTCACATACATGTGAATTCTTCACAGTATTCGGAAGGATAATGAGGTGGATAATAACACAATCTAGTCTGTCATCATTTCATTATTGGATTTTGGTGCACAAAGACAATGGTAACCAGCTGGGAGAATGTGTTTTAGTCCAGATTTCCTTTGATTAAGGTCGAAGAGTGATTTGGTAGATTTTTGGGTATATACTGATAATGTTCTCATTCTGTATTCAAAATCAAGAAGGGGACCAGAACTCTTCTGAATAGGATCGTGAGGAACTGGTTGCCATGCTTTCTGGTAGCTAACAGTTTGTTTATATCCAAAGCATTAATTAGCAGCATTCCCCCAGCACATTCTATCTTTATGTACCAATGGGGCATGCAGTAAAATGAACTAGAACTAATGAAGAAGGAGGAAAATGAAGTGTTGTGTATTGTACATATGCTAGGATTAGAAATTGTTTATTAATAAATAGAATCTTCTTCTGGTACGTGTTTTTTGAAAATGCAAAAAATTTCTAAACTTCAGAATGTTTGAATGTTGTGGATTGCCACACATATGTTTCTACTGGTGCTAACTACTGTATTTTAAGAATTACAGTATGTTTTTTGAACCAAAATCCAACCTGTGGGATCCATGTGGGCCACAGCATTATTTTTTTTTCATGGCCTTGCCACCTTCTGTCTGCCAGTGTGTGCCCAGATGCCAAGCCCTGCGTGCCCTGCCATGTCTGTGTGTGCGGAGGCATTTTTACGTGACTTTTGAGAATGATGTGATGAGAGCAGCTCAAAAAGAACAATGCTGTATTTGCTTGTTTACGCTGTGTATTCGGTCTCTCTTCAGCTAGCAGAATCTGTGTTTTCACTTCATCCCAGGGGACAAGTTTTATAGCACGGATGTAACCTTGGAGAAGTGTTGATCTAGGAGCTGTGTGGCAGTTCTTTTCCCCACTACTGTGAAATTCAGGAAAGCTCTTTCAAAACAAGCTGCTATTGTGCATTAATTTTGTCCGTGAGCCTGCAGAGCAATCTTGATAGTCTGCTAAATTGTAAACAGCAACAGCTTCCCAAAAGACTTTGTCAAACAGATGCTGTAATGGTGCAATGAAAACATTCACCAGAGAATACAAATATCCAGCAGCCCAAACAACAGTTCTGCAGTCCTCACCTTCATGCTCATATACTTCAAACTAGATTATCTGAACTAGATAATGAATGTGTGTTTACATACTACAAGATGCATATCACAAAATGTTGTGCTTCATGAAACTGTACGAAATTACTTTCCTGTGCTCAGAGCAAAGGATTGCTTCCTTTCCATGCCTTCTGGCTTGGCTCATGGGAACGCTTACCACTTTGTGAGAAGTCCCACAGACAGTTGTCTCACTGCTCGATTTTCTTCGTAGTTTTTTCTGTGGCAGGTCATACAAGAAGTAGAGCAATCCGTTTGTGCAGTGATATGCAGATCATGAAATAAATGTTTAGGAAAAATTGAATGCATATGCAGATTTTGTCTAATTCAAGGAAATAGATGAAGAATTCAGCATTCCTTGGTTTATCTCAACAGTACTTGCTGTAGTACTAGATTTTGAAAGGCATTATGGAGTCTAGGTACAGGGAGGATGAAGCAGTCTTTCTATCAGAGTTCCCTTTCAAAAAAACATACTTTGCCTCAACAGAAACTTTACATGAAGAGCTGACAATATTAAATCCCCATATATTTATCTGCTTTTACTGGAATTGTTAAAAAGACTGTACTGGTACTGGGGAAAGACACAAGAATGTGAGAGGAAACTGTCATGGATGTAATGCAACTGTAGTTAATGTGTGAGGCCTGTTTTTAAGTGACTCACTTCCCTTGGAAGTAAACTGTTCTTTCTTGCTTCACATCTTAAGTAGCAGTATACTGAAGGATTCAAGTTTAAAAATAGCATTAAAATGTGAAAACTCTTAAGGCAAACAAACAGTCAGACACTGTAGCAATGTTGAGAGAGAGAAATTGTCTCTTACTGCCCGAATGGTAAATGCTTTGAACTGTCTTGCCAAAATATAAAACTCCCTGGCCAAAGATTTTTTGAAAGACCAATGAGAATTTTTTAGTGGTGGTTTATGTTGGAGAGCGAGCTTGTTAGATGAAGTGTTTGGGACAAATTTTGAAGCTTCTAACTATTTAGGCTGAAAAGAGTTGAAAAAGAGCTTTGTCTAAAACAGAGCAACTGTTTACAATGAATACAAATAAAACTTACAATAACTTTTTACACAAGTGTATTTCGTTTGAGCCATATTTTTGAGGTTTTGTACAGTAAGAAAAGAAAATCTAAACTATCATTATTAAGTCACATGCTAAAATGTGCAGCACAGGACTTTAAATCAGCAGGCAGAGAAACAACTTTGCTTTCAGATAACAGAGTTTGGTTATGTAGCAGAAGCCCTGAAGATCAGGAGTTTTCTGCTGCCTTCTGCTTCCTGTTCTTCAGGAGGAATTATATGTGATGTGAAAACTGTCAGTTTAAACTTTGCACTTTTGAATAGGATGTTCTCACCTATTGTTGTGTTTAATTCTCCAACAGACTACTAAAATTAAAAGAACAAGCAAGACCATTTCTACTCACTGTTTTTGTACTTGATATCTTGAAGGTTATAAATTAGTGCTAATCTATGTTGGTCTGTAGATTTTGGTGGGGCCCAAATCAAATGTTTCGGAACTTCTGTTCTAACTGGCTTCCTGATTCTTGCATAGGCAATCTTTGGTGCCTGCTTGTTTGGAAGTCTGCCATTTGACAAAAATTATGCTTTTAGAAATGATGGAATAAAAGAATCACCTAGCAGTGTATACCACCTATTTAACCTCACTTTTGGGGGGTAGAAAAAGGCACCATTACCTATTTTTTTTTTTTTTTTTTTTACATTGACTCTCCTGTCTGAGAAGTAACTGTTGGTGTAGTAGTACGCTAGAGGTAGTTTGGAGACAGGGTAGTGGTTATTGAATCTGTGGTGGAAGTCCTTCTGGGAGTTCGGGTAGTCACTCTGGAAGTTAAGGACAAGATTACATTTTTAAAATGTAATTTCTTGTATCCCTTTAAAATTTATTTTGCAATTGTTTTCAGAGTCAACAGACTCTAATACACACTTGAAATAGTATCCTAACTATTAAAGTCTGTGCCATATAAAACACTTGATCAAATGTTTAACTTAGATACAGAGCTATTAAACATGTGCCTTGGGCTTTTTGAAATAGAAATTGTGCATACACCTTTCAGATACAGTTAATGTGTGTGCAGTATGTTATAGAGCATAGTGTTTCTTTGAACAAGGTCACATTGACACTATATGCTCTTAGATCAACAGTCACCAAAAGTTAGTAAACATTGGTTGCTGAGATCTAAAAGTTGTGATCGATCTACTCATAACATGGTAACGCATACAGAACTTAATGAACGCTTTTTATGTATGTTTAAATGCTCTCAGCTTCTGCAGTTTTATTACTTAATTTTTTACTGTTGTTAGAAGTAAAAAATCATTCAGGAATATAACGTGGTTATGGTCACTCAGAACAATGAGTAGAATACTGTTTCTTAATGATTGAGAATGGAGTGTTTTAATTATGATTTTCCTGGGCGGTTTATGTGTGTAAAATTCTGTTTAAAATACTAAATCCTTTAAGGAAGGAGGATCACATTCCAATGATTTTCCTGGATTGATGTGGGTAAAGTCATACCTAAGTTGTATTTTAAGAGGGCTTTTTGTGCAGATTTTTTTTCCCCAGTTTGACTGGTTCAGTTTCTCCAAAACAAATGCATGTTATTTAGCACCTTGCTATTGAATTTATCCTTTTAATTCAATTCAGAAGCGATACACAACAATAGT